TGCCTGCTCCCCCAGCATGCACAAGAGCCACTCGCTGGCCGCTGACATGCTGCCCAATAAATAAAATCTTTAAAAAAAAATAAAAAGAAAAAAGAAACATGGGTGGTAAAAGTCTGTAATTCTCAAAAACATAGTTGTACAAAGACAGAAGCTTCCCAAAAATAATTTAGCAAGGACAATGACTCCAAAAATGTAACTATATACATATATATAATTCTCACTAACAGAGATAGAGCTGAAATGTCCTGACTAGAGGTAGAACTGGAAATTCTAAAATTTCCTAAGCTGTATCAATATACAAAATGTATATACATCAAGATAGTTTTATATTTGTGTGTAAAACATTGGAAACAAAAAAAGACACTAAACATTCAACATACTATAATCTAACAATTTATCTATAGCTAACAGTTGCTAAAGCTAGTTCACTAGAAAATATGTTAATCTACCTATCCCATCTTAACCATACCTTTCCCATCCATACCCTTAAACTTATCTAAAAGAGATACCCGAGTCTGAGCATCACCTTCCATACTCAACCTTAAATGACTAAAACCAACCCTATGCCGATGAATACTATCCCTTAAAGCCAATATTAGGGAAAAGGGGCATTGTTTTCTTAGGATTACTTCCTGCTGAAATAGGATGATGATAACTACATGGGATCCCGCAGGGAAAAAGAAATTAGAGCAATAAAAAGTTTCTAGAGGACTAGCCGTATCATTTGTAGATAGTCTCTGCGTGGCGGGAGATGCTTGACTGAAGTTCTTATTTGAAGCTCTGGCCAGAGTGTAATAAAAAGGGGCACCATTTCAGCTAGCTAGTCTGGAGTTGTCTTGAGCCTTATAGTCCCAAGACAATTTTAGGGTGGTGTTTGTTAGTTCAGAGGCATCAAGCTGAATAGAGTGGAATCAATGAAGTGGGGCCCCTTCATCTTTCCGCAGAGTTCAGAGATTGCTGTTAGGAAATTTTTATTCACTGTGGAGGATTTAAAAATTAATATCAGCACAGAAAGTTTAACTTCCATAGGTAAACATACAGGGAAAGGTAAAAATAAGGACGAAATTAAGAATGATGAAAATTAGGATTTTAGAGAATACAGAGTTAAGACAATAATAGTCTTACATTTTATTTTCTTCTGTCTTACACCAATGGCCTTTTGATATGAGACAGAAACTCTGAATTTCATTTAAACAACATGTTTGAGTTTGGAGAAGGAGGGCCAAGTCCAACTTCAAAGCTAGGTTTGAATTTTATGTGGATAGGGACTATGATAGTGCTGGGAAGGAGGGAAACAGAAAACAGAAAAGTTTAGTATAAGTATTTTACCATAGTCAGGTTCTTCTTTGTATGATGGTTCTTTCTGGATAGCTATCTTCTCTTCGTTAGGCATCTACATGTTCAGTGTCCTTTTGCTTTTTGGAGATGGGTTTCCCTGTAAAGACAAGAACAAAATATTCACCCTACTTTTGTGAGGACTCCATACAATTTGTCGGATATCCCTTGGTGGATGACCTATCATTTCTCCTCATCAAGAGGTTTCTCCTGTTCAAACTGGATCTTGATCAACTTTGATGGTATCCAAATCTTTTCTTCTCCTGTAGAAACAAAGGCAAATACCCCTACCCCAACATAACACATATCCTGGTTTCCATACTGAGGTCAATACATTCTTGAAATACATCGGCTGATTTAGTTCAGAAGTTTTTTCTATTGTCCAGTGTCTTTCTTCGGCTGTTTTTCCTTTCTCATTAGCATTAAGAAAGTTTAATGTTAGTAAAGCATTATGTAATCTGTGTTTGGGGGTCTTTGTTCCCCTGCCTGTTTATAGAGCATTTCCTTTAAAGTGTGATTAGATCTCTCAACCACTGCTTGTCCTGTTGGATTGTGTGGTATACCAGTTGTATGCTTTATGTCATAATATTAAAAAAAAACTGTTCAATTTGGTAGAGACATATGCTGGAGCATTGTCAGTTTTTATTTGTGCTGGTATACCTGTAATACCATTACCTCTAATAGGTGTGCAGTAACAGAATCAGCCTTTTCAGGTCTCAGAGCAGTGGTCCATTAGAACCCTGAAAATATTGTATGGTGCACATATTTTAATTTTCCACATTCTGCAAAGTGAAACCTATCCATTTGCCAGATTTCATTTCTATGTGTACCTTCAGGGTTACTACCTTCTGGTAAAGAGGTTTGGTTATAGAAGGAACAAGTAGGACATTTTTTTTGCTATTTCCTTAGCTTGTTTCCAAGTGATGGAAAATTCCTTTTTTAAACCCTTGCTATTTACATGGTTGTTTTTAAATGAAATTCCAAGGCTCCCGCACACTTCCTATTAATAAACAATTTCATCATTGTCTTGTGCTAGAGGACCTGGCAGACCTGTATTGGACCTGATGTGATATATATATCAGGAATAAATTTAGCAGTCTCAATGTGTAAGGCAACCCTCTCTGCATATTGAGAGTTGGTAACTATATTGAGAGGTTCTGTAAAATCCATAACTATCACAAGAATGGCATACAATACTTTCTGCCTTCTGTACAGAGTTATAAGGGCTTTGAACTACTTTACTTGTGTTTCTTGATTTATATACTGCCTTACCTGATTTGTTTGCATCACTGTAGAATGTAGGGACTCCAGAGATTGGTGTTTTTCTTACAAGGCATGGAAGGATCCAAATAGTTTTCTGTATGAATTTTATTCTCTCACTTTTGGGATAATTGTTGCTAATTGTTCCCAAAAAGTTACTGCAAGCTCTTTGCCAATATTCATTATCTTTCCATTACTTAAAGCTACTATAATTTCTGCTGGGTCCATTCCTGTCAGTTGACAAAGTCTCAATTTACCTTTTAAAATCAAATCAGAGATCTTTTCTATATATGTCTTTAGTTTTTATTCTGTTTATGTGGCAGAAATATCCATTCTAATGTGGTATCGTCCCTCACATCAGAATCCCTGAAGGGTATTCTCTATATGGTAATATAACCAGAATACAGTCTAGTTCTGGATCCACATGGTCCACATTTGCTTCTAGTAGTCTCTTTTCTACCCATTCTAATTCCTTTTCAGCTTCGTCTGACAATATCTGTGGACTATTTAAGTCCTTGTCCCCTTTTAGGGTCATTTTCAAGTTTTCCAAATCATGCCCTTCTACAATAATGGTGTGTAGTTGAGAAATCTCTCCTGGTAATTTTTGGAGATCATTGAGAGTCTGGTATCAATCACTCCAGATGTGTACTTCTTGTGGTCTAATTTTCTGTAGATCTATTTTATATCCTAAGTAATTGAAAGAATCTCCTCTTTGTATTTTTTTCCAGGGCAATTTGTAATCCCCAGTGAGGTAAAAATTCCTTTACCTCCTCAAATATTTTTTCTAACATTTCTGCCTTAGAGTCAGCCAACAATATATCATCCATATAATGGAAAATTATGGCTCAGTCATTAAAGGCTAGGCTCACAATCAAAAAATGGTAAATTACAGGTTGTGGAAACTGTTTATGAATTATTTCCAATAGTTTTTGCACAAAATACTGGAACTGGGTGGGACTATTTAACATTCCCTGTGGCAAAACCTTCCATTGATATCTCTTGACTGGCTGAGAATTGTAAGTAAGCACTGTGAAGGCAAATTTTTACCTATAATTTCTTGTAAAGATATAGTGAAGAAGCAATCTTTTAAATCAATAGCTATAATAGGCCATTCATGAGTTATCAGAGAAGGCAAGAACATTCCAGGCTCTTTACTTTATTGATGACTCTCAGGTCTGTAAGCATTCTCCATTTTCCATATTTGTTTTTTGATAAAAATACAGGAGAATTCCAAGGGCTCGTAGATTCTTTGATATGTCCAGCATTTAGCTGTTCCTGAACCAAATTTTCTAGAGTCTCTAGCTTCTCAGAGGTCATAGGCCATTGCACTACCTAGACAGCTTCATCTGTTAGCCACTTTAAGGGTAGGTCTTTTGGTTGCTCTTATTAGATTGGCACTTGTATTCTGTTTTTGTACAGCCTGGATATTTGTCTTCTGTCTTATATAGTGCTTTACAATACTTTTCTACATCCATGAATTTGTTTATAGTTCCTATATAATACTGGAGGGATGTTAATTTGGGCATTCCACTGTTGCAATAGATCATGACCCCATAGATTTATTGCCATATCAGCCATATATGGTCTCAGCCTTCCTCGTTGTCCTTCTGGCCCTATACACTCAACCTATCTTGGGCTTTGTTTTACTTGAGATAGGGTTCCAATCCCTAAGAATTGAACATTTGTCTCCTGCAGGGGCCATCTTGCAGGTCAAGATTTTTGAGTTATAATAGTGACATCCACCCTTGTGTCCTCCAAGCCCATTATCATAATGTTATTTATTTGTTATCTTTTTAAAATTTTTTTCCTTTTAAAATTTAAATTAGAAACAAGTTTGTTTTACATGTCAATCATAGTTCTCCCTTCCCTTCTCCCCTGACCCCCACCAAAACCCTATCCCATCCCCTTTCAGTTCCCCGGGAGGGGGAGGCCTACAATGGGGGATTTTTAAAGTTGGTCATATCATTTGGAGTAGAGCCTAGGCCCTCCCCCATGTGTCTAGGCTGAGAGAGTATCCCTCTATGTGGGATGGGCTCCCAAAGTCCATTCACATACTAGGGATAAATACTGATTCACTACCAGAGGCCCCATAGATTGGCCAGGCCTGCTAACTGACACCCATGATCAGGGGATCTGGATTAGTCCTATGCTGGTTTCCCAGCTGTCAGTCTGTGGTCCATGAGCTCTCCCTTGTTCAGGTCAGCTGTTTCTGTGGGTTTCTCCAGTCTGGTCTTGACCCCTTTGCTCACTGGATTCCAGGAGTTTAGCTCAGTGTTTACCTGTGGCTGTCTGCTTCTGTTTCCATCAGCTACTGGATGAAGGTTCTAGGACGGCATACAAGGTAGTCATCAATCTC